TCCTACGCGGCCCGAGGGACCGGAAGATGCAAACATGCAGTGTATCTGTTACTGTCTAGTAGCAGTAGAGGTCCTTACGAAACAGTTCGTCCAGGGTAGTACTGCCATCTTGCCCATTTCTGCCGCCAAGCAGTAATGTCAGCATTATTGTGTTCCGTTTTCGAAGGGTAAGCGTGCTGGTGAAATTACAGGCACATGGGACTTGTCAACTTATGTTTCAATGTGACGGTTGCAGTGGTAGTGCCTCTCTTAAAGCTCTGAGGACACTGCAACTGTTATGGACAGGCATATAGCTTACCATTAGGCGCACGACTTGTTCGTCCCGTCACTTGATATTAGGGATTGCCACGAATATTCGGCTACTATCTGGTATTCGGCTTATTCGGCCACTTTTTTAATATTCGGTATTCGGCCGAATACCGAATACCTAATAATGAAAAAAGCACATGTTATTCAAAACGTATCATGTGTTTAATCACAATATATTGCTTTAATAATCAATCAGTGGCAGGTTGTGGTGAATGAAAATAATAAAAAAATAAGAAAAAGCCTTAATATACACGAGCAGCTGCAGCACATTCTTTTTCATGTCATTAATAGTTTTTTATTATTTTGAATTTGTATTCCTTTTTATTAAATGTGGATTACACCACTTTTGCACTGATAGCCCCAATGAATGTCCAAGAATTAAACTTCGTTTTTATAAGATCGCACGCTAAAACGATTTATGACAATTTCTAATAAAGATTTGTTATGTATCTTATTAGGATTTGTTATGTAAACTTCAGTTCATCTGTACCTCAACGATTCTGTAACACTAGACTTAAATATTAAACAATACTATCTATTTAAAAATATTTTTGAAATTTAGTTCCTTCGTAAGTGTTTATATAATAAAAATATAGTAGTATTTTGCATTCACTTTATCTGTTACTTTATGTGTTAGAATATTTCACTAGAGAAATTGAGTTTCGTGTGTGTGTGTGACAGTGTTCTTTGTAGATGGGTGTTAGTTTTTTTTAATACCTAACCTTCAGGACCTGTGCCTCTACTATGAGATTATAGTGACAAATATCGCTAGCGACCGCGTAAACTGTTTGTACACAAAATTTTGTTTCTTCTTGTGACCGCTAGAGGCGCTGTATAATTTGCCATACAAAATTGTGACGTAATTTACGCGGTCGCTAGCGCCAATTGCACAATAAACTCTTGGTAGAGGTACTGTAGAGGTCCCGTAACGTTGGTTTGTTTGAAAAGCTAATGTATTGTGCTTTCGATCCGAAAAATAGTTTAATTTCCTGTTTGTAGACGGGTTTACATACTGCACACGGTTTGCATTCGTTTCGAATCAGAATGACGGTTTAAAATGTCACGGGGATCGTTTTATCTAAGTGTACAAGCGGTAGACGTATAGGACTTAGTGCACAGGTGACTTCCGAAGAGGGTCCGAGTTTTCTGGATTTGTGTAGTCTCGGATTCGAAGCGCGAGAATGTAAGAACTCGATATTTAAATTAACTCTATTCGGTAACAAAAGAAAGTGCTAGCGTAAATAACAGTCCGATGCAATACGCAGGAGTGGGGGTGGGAGTAGTTGGTAAGGACGCTTGCACGTTTGACCTTGCTGCCTTACCACCGAATACAGATATAAAAACTGTTAGATAGTACAACAAAAACTTAAACGTTTATTTTTGGTAAATTTATTTTGTTTTGTGAAAAGTCATTATAGTAGCAGTAACGTGAGCAGTACTGCGTTTCGGTTTCGAAAGAGTTTTATTTTTATTTTTTTATCTTATGTAGGTAGTAAACGAGCATACCGCCCGCCTAGTGGAAAGTGATCACCGTCGCCTATGAACGCCTGCAGCACCAGAGGTGTCACGAGCGCGTTGCCAACCCTTTATGACCCTTCTCAAACCCCTTTTGAAGGATTCACCAAACCTCAACAGGGAGTTCATTCCACAACCGAATTGTACGTGGGAGAAAGCTCCTCTGAAACCGCACAGTACGAGATGGACTCGTTTCCAGAGTGTGAGGATGGACTCTCTGCAGGTGGCGAGCGGTGCGCTGATGAAATGGTGTTGTTGGCATCATGTCAAACAGTTCTTCAGAACATTGGCCATTGGTGTTGGTAAAATTGCATAAGGGACTTTCCAACTTATGTCTCAGGGTGACGGATATCTATGGCAGTGCCTCTCAGATCTTAGTGATTTAAAGCACTGAGTTCTACTGCCACTGTTATGGACAGGCGTGTCACTTACCACCAGGTGCGCGAATTGTTCGTCCCGTCACTTGATCTCATAAAAAAAAAAATAAAAAAAGACTTCAACTTATGTCTCAGGAAGATCTTTGCGATTTAAAGCGGCACTGCGACTTTCATGGACGGACGTGTTGCTTACCAACAAAGGCACGACTTGTTCATACTGACACCTTGTATCATAAAAAATGCATATTTACTTAATTTAAAATGAGACAAACTTTTTGTGAACTAGTTAGGTAGTAGTGGAAAACAGCCTTTACTTACTTTAATAAATAAGTAAAATTATTTTTACTAATTTATTTTTAAATATACTCCGGGAGACATAATTCGGGCCACCTCGCATGTTTGTCGTAAACGGCTAGAATACAAAAATAGTTATCATCGAAGAAAAAGTTTTCCCCCGGTTTTGCATATCCGAATTCCCAACAAGGATTTATGGAAAAGACGTTTAGTATACTAGTTTCAAAATTGCATAAGATTATGATCAATCAAACATTGTTTAAGCTTAGGGCACTTAATACTGGAAATGCGTGGTGACTCGAATTGAGTGTCCGGAAGTGTATATTTGGCAAGTAGGAAATTGTTTTGATGCATGTATAATAAACATTAACATATACATAAAGAAGGATGGCGAAAGCTGACCCAATAATTATAAAATCAATGAAGAGCCGTTCATGGACTTTGCTAGTATAATTGTACGTTTTTCTTTATGTGTGGTTCTCAATATATGTATTTTTGTATATTTTAGAGGTAGGGAATAAAGAAATTGTAAAACAATGTATTTGAGAGTATATGCAAGAACACAACGCAATTGATTAGTTCCACTGTAACGTTCTTGTTTCATTTTAAGCATGATTGAATATTTACCTACCTAAAGTACCTATTGGTTATTTGATAGCACACACATAAAATATTAAAGCTATAAAATAACTAATGAAATAATCAGTTAAACAGTAATGATATAAAGTAAAAAATAAAACACAATGTGACAAAAATATTTACACAAAAGAGGCCTCTTGCCAATATCAACGTCACATTGATATTGAGACAGTGTGACCTTTTGTAGCAGATTTATGCCATTTGGACAGATTTAATTTTTGCGGCAGAACATGTTAAGTTGTATTAAATGTGGCAAAGTTTGGTAGATTTTAGAATATTTAGCAACTAAGTTCTTTACTATTTTTGGGAATAAATTGAAAACTTTTTGTTTTCTGCTACTACGAACAAATATCTGAAGCGCAATAGAGGACAAATTAGAAACATTACCTATATCAACTTTATAACCCCAGCTTCTACAGGCTGCAGACATTTAACTATTTTAATGCTATGATAATGAATCACAAGTATTGATAGGTCTATTTAATGCACGTCATTAAAAACACTAGGTCTCAAAATACACGGGATGTTGCCATCCTTCTTTAATAATCTTTCACGGGAACTGAGTAAGGACGCGTTCCCAATATGTCGTGACAACAGATGACTATCTGTCACGACACGATTAACTGTCGTTACGACGACAGACTGTCGTGGCAATAGGAAGAGTTAGAACGACAGTCGCCCTACGTTAAAAACGTGACAGATAGTCGTAGCACTATTGTCGTCACGATTTATTTATCGTTGTCTGCACGTGTTCTGCTCCCTACACTTCCCTCTCGTACCCCACGCCCTTGGCTCGCTTTGCACTAGCATTGGGTCGTAGCCAGAGATGGGCAAATGCCCGGGTTTTAACCCGGGTTTAAATTGGGTTAAAACCCATTAATGCCCGAAATCGTGGGCAAAAACTATTTACAACTAAATATTTAGGAAATGAAACTATTTTTCCGGATTTAAATAGCGTAATATACGCTTGTTATGTATCTTTTTGTCATGTATGTTACGTACGTTTTTTCAAATAAATCGACGTTTCGGACCCTTTACAGGTCCCATACGGTTGACGAAACGTCGGTTTGTTTGAAAAAACGAATATACGCGATTTAAATCCGGAAAAATAGTTTAATTTCCTATGTGTAACAATCGCGAAAACCTAAGAACTGAATATTTGTTGCGAATTGAGTTTTATTAAAATTTATACATAGATATTATTACAAAATATGAAATTCTTAAATAGTCACAAAATTTTCTCTCATCACTTTTCAATTCTATTATAAACGTTTGATATAATCCTAATGGAATTATTTTTAATAACATTGGATGTACCTAAAACTTTCTTTTCTTCGTTTGCTTCTTCCGCTTTTTAAAAAAGTAATACATTATTATAATTTCATCTTTATTCATTTCATACGGGATCGAAAACACACTTCTGGCTTCCAAAAGAACATAAAATCAACTGCAGTGCATCAAACGACTTTGTCGAGCAAACGATAAGGCCGCTGCCGTGAAACGATAAATTGTCGTCACGAACTAGTGGGAACAGCTAGACACGACAGTCGTTCAACGATAAAATAATCGTCCACGACACAGCCACGACAGATAGTCGTGATATGGGAACAGGCTAGCGCGACAGTCGTCCAACGACAAATAAAACGTTACGACATTATGGGAACGCGCCCTAATTAATTTTTCAATGATTCTGAAAAAAAAAAATCACTTTTTGAGTAATACATTATTGTATTTTTTTTGCCTACGCTTCAGTTGTCATCTAAAATGAATCTATAAAAAGGGCGTTTATATCTATTAATGCATTTGTTTTTTTTTTCAGATAGCTATGTTGATGACGAAGAGATGGTATCGATCAAAAAAGATATTGTTTCTTATACTCGCCATTGTTATTTTAGTGACGTATTATTGCACGGTATATGGATCTCTCAATCAAGAACTAGATCTGGACATCACCAGAAGGTATTTAACTAATTCTTATTTTTAATCTTAATAACAATATACAATTTGTGCTTTTACTTCTTTTAACTTGTGGTTACGGACACTCCATATAACGGTTGAAAGTTATTTACCTACAACTATTACATACAGCAAGGCGCTATCTGCACACTTGCAAATGTGTGCGTGAAGTGGCAGGGTTACCCATCACTTTCTCGTACGTGGTCAGAGCGGCAACATAGCGAAAATTCTAACGCGAATCCGTTATCTATAATTCTATTAGTAGATCCTAATAGTTACACATGTTCATTAGGTACTTATATCAATGTTATAATTTGGACAGGTACTTTTAAATAAGGTAACCAAGGTATTTGAAATTGCCTGTCCAACTTTATCATTATTTCGTTAATATATTCACTACATATTTATCAGCAATACAGATTTAAAATTCGAGAACCCTTGTTTACTACATTACACCTCATTATATTAATATAATAAATGTGTATTATATATTACTTTGCACTAAATAAATGAAGAAAGCAATAAGTGAATTAGTCTCAGAAGTGTTTTTTTTACTTACTTTGTTTCATCTTTTGGAAAATGAAGCGACCTTATCTTTATCACGTTTAGATGACGATAAACAGCACAATTCACGACCATTATAAATAGTAACGTACAATGATGCTATGTGTTAACGTACAAGTTTCGTAATGAATAAATGAAAACTATATTCAAATATCCAAGCACGAAAACGGCTCGCCAACAGCCTTGTTGCCGTTCAGTCAATGTAACCGACAATATGCGGGGTGGTGCGGTATCCAAAGCTAGGGAGGGGCGGTGAGTGTTCATTCTCGTTAGTTTTTTGTTTTCTACTATAGTGTAGCGTTGTCAGGCGTCGTGATACGCGCGCGTCACTTTTGCAGTCACACATAAGCGGGTCGGGTCTTGACCCAGCGCTGGCGTATGCGCCCGACCCGCACCCGTCTCTGTGTCTCACGCTTTAGTGAACTAAAAATTACCGAAGCGTTACAGAATCGCGACTGCCGCGCCACTGCACCTCTGCTACCAGCGACTAATTTGAATGCTTAATACTTAATACTATTACTAAATAACACATTACAATATATTACTTATTACTTCATACTTACTACGTAACAGATACATCGCTCCCATACAAAATCGTAAATACCTACGCTACAATAGCCTACTAAATCTGACTAATGAAACCAGGCAGTCAGTACGAGGAAAAAACGAAACCTAATCACGCGCTTAGAGAGGTGGAAACAAGGTTGTGTGCAGTCGTGCGGAACCGAATACTAAGGTTGTGCAAGGATTGTAATGTAAATGAAAGACTTGTCTGAGCGCTTTCTCTGTCGGCAATACACTCGGTGTTAGGTAGTACTTATCGCGTAACCTCGAGCGAGTGACGGAGCCCTGCCTTTATGCTTTTTGGATGCGTGTCCGGGCAAATTAGACGTTGTCCGGCCTTTGTTAGGTTTTTTTTCATATTTTATCAAGTTTAGTTTCGTTTATATTTGATTTCAGTGTATAGCCATTGCAATAATAGATGATTATATAGTAAAAAAAACTGATTTATGATTTTTTTATTGTTATTTCATTACAATCTAAAAAGACCAAAATGTCCGGCTATTGTTGAGATGAGGTGAAAGGTAGAAAAAATATTTTTCCTTTTCTTTTCTATATTAATTTTTTTATGGTATCGATACTTTTGTACAAATTTTCCTTACTTGAATACAGAATAAAACACATAGATTAATAAGTCTTTTATTTGATTTATGATTTTTAATTGAAACAAATAATAAAAAGTCTTTGATAAAATCGATCAATTGACCAATTTAATCAATCGTAATTTCACATAATTTGTGTTATATTTTCTTCTCATTGTTATAAAGAGGCAAATGCTGGCATACACTATACAGCCAAGTCATATGTGATGAAGGCAGCCATTAAAAAAAAATCGGAAGGTGGATTGTGATATGAGATGTCCTAAGTCAGAATTTGTCAAAACTACACGATACTTGTCAAAAAGTACCTATACCTATACCTGAAAAGTATAGAATGAGAACTATCGAGTACAAAAGTATCGGTATCAGAAGTAAAGTACTCGATACCAAAAAGTATCGATACTTTTTCTATGTCCCTGTCAAAACCAGAGTAGGCTTTAACTAAAATATGCTTTTAAGAAGTATCAATGTTACTTTTTCTTCAAAGTGAATTTACATAATACGTATTAATTCTCTGACTCTCAAAAAATGATCCCTTCACAAAATTCTACATAACATAACATTGTAACAACGGCCACTAATTTACGTATTTTATAAACTATTTATATAAGTCTCGCTTACAAGTGAATAGCTTTTGTTTAATCAAATACATAAAATTAAAGCAAAAGTAACACCAAATTTGTGAGAAATGAGCAGAGAAACAATTATTTTTTCAAAAATTAATTTATTTTTACGCTAACGTACAAAGGTTACTTCACTAGACTGTATTTGCTAGAGATGAGGTATGTCAATATATGACTAAATAACAACAATCAAATCAAACAATAACAAAAAGAAATAACTTTAACAGAAAACACGGCGGGGAACAATCTAAAATATGTCGCATATACAGGGCGTCAGCACTCGTACTAAATGAAATTGACACATACGTGTTTTAATGGATTTTGGAACGATGCAATGAGTTGTGTAGGCAATTATTATTGTTCGCCTATCGCTGGCGATGGATATTGAATCATTGAATCACACACAGAGACTTAAATGTAAATATTTAATGTATTTCTTTTCCTGTACTTACTTCATAGAAACATCGGATCGGATATCAGAAATAAAATAAGTATTATTTATACACAATTCATGGGAGTCCATTATTTTAAAAACTCCATTGTTATATTTATTAAATCCGTAATATTATACAAGACTGTATAAGAGAAAACCCTTGCTTCAAAAATCGACTAAACTAATAATCTATCGACTTTACCTCATCACTATGACAAACGTCAAATGACGTGTCACAGGGACCATCCTAGTAGTATAAATATGTATAATTACCGTAGTAATTGTTTACTTTTGAACATGCCTACATATTTATTTTCACGGGCTCGCCCAGTTATAAATATACTGGTTCGTTATGTTAATTTCAAATTCAGTTTTATAATAGTTTGCAATGGCTGCCAAATATTGAACTTTTGTTTCTCAGGAAGTATTTTACAGATGGTAAATAGTTTATGATAGTATCTACATAGTGGCAATCTCGCAATTCTACACATTTCTAAGTTCTTTGTCGTCAATTTGAATAATTAGAAGTTTGTAGGTTTTCTTCATCGTTTGCTAATTTTAACTTTTCGTTGTTCGTTGACCACAAAAGCAAAGTGTTTGCAGGGAAATAAAGTATTTTCATGTTTTTATGTTAGAAGCATCGAGTATAAAACCAGAAATAGAGACGAAATAAGGGCCATATATTCCTGGTAACACATTAGCGATACAGCTCTTATAAATATACTCTCTTATAAAAATACAATACATAAGGTACACATTATAAGAAAACTACATTCCGGTATTGGTACCAAAGTCTGTCTTTTTTGAAGACGGAGTAGAATGACATTTGTAGAGATGCCAGTTTTCATAAAATTTTAAATAGTTATGTAGTCCTTTTGATAGTTTTATCGATAGATTCTGAAAGAATATAAAATTTTGCCAAAAATAATAAACTTGTGAATGTTACTATTTATGTTCTAATGATTACCAATTGCGTTATTACCTTCTTTATTCTTATTTTGACAGTTGGCCTACTAGTATAGAGGTCTATTATATTCATACACATTTTAACAAGAATAGCCGGATTTGATTATCTATACCTCCTCTTTGTATTTTTCATAAACATAGCTGTAAATACAGTGCATGTGTGTATGAACTTACAAAAATTGAAAAATTCAAATGAACTTGTGCTCAGTAATTGGATAAATAATGGGTCGAGGATGATTCAATTGAAACAATTTCGGCTATTTATTTCTTAAGCGTGACCAATATTCAGTCACAAGTGGGCAACACTTTGCACAATTAACTGTCATTTTATTCCGTCTTCAAAAAATACAGACTATAGAAATAGCCTCTGTGCGCATCACTTCCTTCTTACGAGAGCAGGTAGGTCATTCATCTGTACTGTATCATATCTTACTTTACTTTTTTTAAAAGTGTTTGCGTGATCAGTATTTGTCTTGTTATCGCAGAACGAGCACCGAGTCTTTATTTAAGCGTAAATAACAGTTAATGCGAAACAAATACATCGCACACAGAGAATGATAAATTACTAACTTGAATTTTGATTTGAAATTACTAACTCCCGTATACGTTGTTTGCCTACAATTTGCTACATGGCGTAATGACATTATGCTGTAACATCGAGTGTATAACCAGAAATAGAGACGAAATAAGGGCCATCCATTCCTGGCAACTCATCAGGTAAATGGGCCTTACATCACTTTTAAATATTAACTCTCGTTTGCATTGAAATCACAAATTAGAAAGCTGAAATAGTACAGCGCCAACAACTGACCTGGGTGTAGGTTCAAAAACATTATGATATTTATTGTTGTTCGCGTCTTGTTCTTGCTACACAAACTATCTTGATAATAATGTT